GTAGTAATTATGGCAAACAGGTACATTTATTAATTATTTGTCAAAACCTATTATTGCATTAATTATTTATGTGAATATTTTATTTTGTAAAGATTTTTGATTGTTATTATTATTATAATTATTTTATATTATTTTATATTAATCATTTGTTTTTTTTTTTAAAAAAAAAGGACATAAAAATACATATCATAATTTTTTTTTTCATAATAATAATAATATTTTTTATATATATTTTTTATTTTATTTTACTTTTAATAAACAATTCTAAGAACTATTTCCTTTTTTTTCTTTATTAATTGTGTATAAATTTTTTTATTAATTAAATATATTAATTGCTACCAATATTGCAAAATATATATCATAATAAATATATATTAACAAAATTATAGTTAAACAATTGAAAAAGTCTTTCTTTATACTGATTCTTGAACTTCTGGTTCTTTGAAATCTTTAGCACCTATTTTAGAACCAGTATCAGCACTATCACCATGTAATTCCATTAATTTTTGTACATCAAATTTAGGACTTTTAAGAATTTTTACTTTACGAATATAAGCCTATATTATAAAAAAATTTTTTTGGGAGGTTTTTTTATTTGTTAAAATATATAAAAATACATATTTCAAATAATAATAGTAATAATAAATGCTTACATGTTGAAGAGGATAAATTCCTTGGCAAGCTTTTGTAATTTCAAGACCAATCGATTCAGGTACAAATTTTTCCACTAAACCTTTCAAATCTGCACTAGTAGCCTGAGCAGTCATAATGTCAAACATTTTTTTACGAATTTGACGAATTTGTGAAGTTTGTGCATATGTGGTTTTACGAATTTGATTTGGTCGCCTTTTTGTGAAAGCAATTGCAAATAAACGAAGTAAATATCCATCTGTTGTCTTGACATCAACGTGTGCTTCAATCAAAGTCTAAAATGATTTTTAATAGGTAAACAAAATAAATAATTAAATAATTAAGTAAAAATTGAATTATTTGATTAGTAATGCCAAAAATAGATGTATATAAGCAAGAAAATCTTTTTTTTATATATATATTTTACCTGCCATTTTCTGACCAAAGATCTAAGCTTATCAGATGTAAAATCCATTCCATGAAAATTTGTTAATAAATTTCTATCTTGTACTTCATCCACTCTTAATTTGATTTTTCTATAAGCTTGTTCTTCATCTTGATTTAAATCAGCTAATGAAATTTCAAACACACGACCCTTTAATGCATCATCAGCATTTTCTATTTTAAATGAATAAATAAATATTTATATAATTGTTATAATTATTATGGTTCAATTTATTGAAAAGCTAAGCTAAAAAATCATTATCGATGCATTACTTACTTAAACCTTGCGTACGGTTAACAAGTGTTTTACCAACATTTCTAACTAAAAACATCGATGGAGCTTTCACATCATACCAATCTTTACGAGTAAATGGATCAACACTATGATATTATAAATATTTAAAAAAATT